TAAAAACAAAAATATCAGAACATCATAATCACATCAATAGACATACTAATCAACACTCGGTTATTATGGACATAGATTGGAATTTAATCATGAATTCGATTGGAACAAGATTTTAGATGAAGAAAAGAATTACAACAAGCGATTACTCTCAGAATCTATTTATATTAAGAAATAGAATTATGGTTTAAATTTACAGGAGGATACTGAATGTATTCTTTATACCATGAGCTTTTTTAAGAAGAATGATTTTTCCAGATTTTATAATTAATGTACATATTTATTATTATAACTTTTTTGGATTTCTTGTTTCCTTTTATTTATTGTATTATTTTCCCTACTTAGTAACGATAATTTCGTTTTGATCTCTTTACATACTCTTGAAATGTCTTACTGTACGCACATTCTAAATTATCTGATCATCGTCAATATGTAAATTTATCCAGATTCTTCAATCAAAGATTTTTTTATACTAGTATTTTAAGTCTTATATTATTTTTCATATTGTTGTATATTGCAGATAATGTAATTGTTCGAGTATCTAATTAAATAGACAACTTTTATATTTTACCTATTGACGAAATAGTAAGCGAATATTATATGTTTAAATTTTCTCAATTGAACTTTTCAAATATACATTGAAGATGATTCAATAATAAGGGTTGAAACGTCTGTAATTCTATTTCATTTCAGAATATATTATATTTTTACAACCTGTGCTGGCTCGCATTGGCTTTTTATCTTCCTACGATTTATTCTTTGGAGCCTTCAATCAAAATTGAGATTTAATAATATTAAATTGTCAGCAGAGGCAAATTAAGAATGATTACCGTAAGAGACATAAGTAATGTTGGCAATGACTCGATCACAAACGTGCGATTAGCTCAGCGTAAGTGTATTAGGCTGCCGTTCTAAGGACCGTAAATTCAAATCTTGCGATGCAATGCGTTTTTCAATAATTATTTGTAGTTAATAAGACAAGAATATAGATATGCGAAACCAGTAAATAATACAATAAATTGAACTGAAAAAATAAAAGTAACAATAACAAAACAAATTATTTTTTTTGTTAAAGTATAATTAATCAAATAAATTCGTTAATTTTCGACTTTTTATGTTACATTAACTATTCTTCTTCAAAAGAAACAAATATTTCATCAAACTAAAGCGTCTTCTCAATATATTTTATAAATACTTGAACAAGCAAGAAAGATAGTTTATTCAATTTAAATTATTACGAAATGATCAAAATATTTTATTTCATTAAAAAGATATTGTGTCACATCAAATAAATATAAAGTTCGATCTACTATTTATTTTGTCACTCCGACTATTATATTTAGTCAAATAAAACATACATGAATTTCACAATAATATTGTGTATACAAATTTGTGTATACAACTGTAAAGAAGCATAAACGAGCATAAACAATATGTAATTATTTTAAACACAAATTTGGTTATTCTATTATTTTTTTATTTGACATATATATCCTTTTGTTGTCTCAATTAACGCTATTTAATAAATCATCAAAATAAATTTCTATTCAATTAAATATATTCTAAAATCAAATAAATCTTTTTCCTGCAATAACTCAGTTTAGTTGAGCCAAATTAAAAATCATCATAATAATTTACATTATAGTAATAACACAAAATATTTTGCTCTTTGCTCTTTGCTACATTGATATTTATTCGACCTCAGCATTTTGTTGAGTCAAATAGTTCTTTTTTTGTTGAATAAATTTTTTTTCTCAGTGTACTACTTTATTATCCTATGATTTTGTTTTATTTTTACCTAAAGATAATTACAAAAATATCTTCTCTTATATATAGAATAAAACTATTAATTGTAAATTGTATTCTTTAAAAAAAAATCATGTGTTTTTCTATTCAGAACAATATTAATGCTAATTGCGGATTAATTCGCTTTATTGTTTTTGATGGCGTTATTACATCCCATAAAAATAATGAAAGACATTTGCGTATCGTACATATTACGATATGCATACAGGGTGTCCCAGAATGATCGCCAATTATTTTGTGTGCGGCACGATTATGATAATCGGGACTCCTCAAAATGAAAGTGATTTTGAGAAATATTTGCAATAATTTTTTACTCAAGTTATCAATTATCAACTTTACAAAAAAAACAATAAGTGAGAAAAATTATATTATTTTTTTTTTTTATAGAACTCTGAAAATTTTTTCAGAATTTTTTAGTATCACAGTTTTCTTAGTTGATAAAAATAGTTGTCAATAAGAAAATGCAGTATTAAAAAATTGTTAAGAAAATTTTTAAAAAATTCTCAGAACTCTACGAGAAGAAATTAAACAATTTTTATCTCTTGAGTAAAAAGTTATTGAATATTTCATGTGCTGATAGAGCGGACTAAACTAAGTTGAAGAAAGATCCTCTATTATTTTGCAATTTTCGCATTAAGTTAACAAAATATTAATTATCAAAAATTATCGAATATTGATCTTCAATAATTTTTATTGATAAATGTTCACTTTTACATAGCCCCAAATGATCTTCAACTAATCTTGATTCTTAAGAAAATCAAGATCTTGATCTTTAAGAAAATTGATCTTTTCTGTTGTTCGTTATTCATTAAAAAGTTGCTAACAGAAAAATTGTTATGAATAGCACACAATTTTAAAACATAAAATACATATTTTAATAGTATTTTCCCTTGACAGGGGGTTTTAAAAACAAATTCTCTGCTTAAAATATCAATTTTCTGTTCTAAAATCGAATTTTTAAAGTGAGGGGGGTAGGATGAGAGTTGCTTCAGGTGAAAGTCACTCTCAATCAGGGGCAAATGACCGTCATTGCTTTAAAACAGAAAAAAAATAGCAGAAAAAATTACGTACTATTAGGTGCACTTTGCTTCCGCCGTTTTCCTATAGATGGCTTTAGCGGTAAGTGGTGGTCGAAATAAATAGATCATAGACGTCATACAATAAACTTGGGCATCTGTCAACATAACCCCATAGAAACATTAGTCGATTTGTGTCTGCATCATAAAGTTATTTTCGATTGAAAATGTCAGTTTACGAGTCAAATTCTCGTCATTTGCGGAAGGTTTTAATTTTTTGCTTCAATATGAAGAAATCTGCGGCTGAGGCTCATCGAATGCTCTCAAATACTTATGGTGAGGCCGCTATTAGTGAAAGAACGTGTCATGAGTGGTTTCAACGCTTCAAGAACGATGATTTTGACGTCCAAGGTCATGCTCTGTATTTGGTGGGACCAGCTCGGCGTAGTGTATGAACTGTTAAAACTGACTGAAACAATCACAGATGATCGGTATCGAACGCAATTGATGCGTTTGAGCCGAGCATTGAAAGACAAACGGCCGCAATACAACGAGAGACACGATAAAGTGATTTTGCAGCATGACAATGCTCGATCCTATGTTACGAAAGTGGTCAAGACATACTTGGAAACGTTGAAATGGAAAGTCCTACCCCACCCGCCGTATTCTCCAGACATTGCTCCCTCTGACTATCACTTGTTTCGATCAATGGTACACGGCCTGGCTGACCAGCACTTCCGGTCTTATGAAGAAGTAAAAAATTGGATCGATTCGTGGATAATCTCAAAAGATGACCAGTTTTTTCGACGCGGGATTCGTACGCTACCCGAAAGATGGGAGAAAGTAGTGGCCAGCGATGGACAATACTTTGAATCATAAATGTATAATCAGTTTTTTACAATAAAGCCTCGAATTTCGAAAAAAAACGGCGGAAGCAAAGTTGTACACCAATATTCATAAAAATTTTTCTGTTCATAACTTTTTAATGAATAACGGAAAAGATTAATCACCTTGATCTCCTTGAGGGTTAAGCTCGATATTAAAATTAATTAGAGAATAAAAAAGAATAGAAAATAAAGGCCGAAAAACCTTACATGTTAATCACATGTGGATCTCCAGTACCCTCTCTGAATTTTTGTGTTTTCTTATATCGACACAAAAAACCCTTGCAGGCTTATCATATCAATGGACAATTAAAGTTTTTTTTTTCAACTTCAATCCGGGTTTTTAAATTATATTATAAAAAAATTACAGCAACGTAAAAAATCGCACAGAATATGTTGAACCCATGAATATCATAACAGGGTTAATATCTTGTTAACTGCAAAAGTTGCAAAATGGTAGAGGACTTTTCGACTCAGTTTAGTCTCATCTACCTTCCTGTGAATTATTGTTAGAATCTCGCTGACAGTCTGTATAATATATTGATCGTAAGAAAATTATAACATGTAACTTTTTAAAGACATTACATAAATTTATTTGATACTGTACTCATTTGTGTATAATAAAACAGTAGCAAGTTATTTTAATTTTTATTAAAATCTTTATTTTTATTAAAATTTTTATTAAAAAAAAGATTTTGTAATTAGATCTTTATTCCGCCTATCCCCTCAATTGTGGATCATGATATAATTTTAACAGATTCAAATTTATTTAAAATTGGTGACAATTAAAAATCATTGATATTTAAAATTACAATAAAAATGAATGAAAATTAAACGTTTAGAAATAAAGACTAATTAAATTATGAATAGTAACTTTTTGTATATAAACATGTAAATATACTATTTTATATTTTATTTCGATATTTAAAACAAATAAATCTTTTGACACCATTTGTAAGATTTGACAAGTTTTTAAATATTTTTATAATAAATTTACACAATAAAAGTATTAGGTGCCATTACACAAAGCGCAGAAAAGCGGAAATGTGAAATTAACTAAATTTTACTCTAGATTTCCGCGTTTCTTCTTTATCTAAATGCTAAAAGTAAAACAAATGTTAAAGAATCTTGTGATATACATTATTTTTAATGGAAAATACTATAATAATTTAAATATAAAAAAGTAGTCTAGAACTAATGCTTGACCCACATCTAGTGCTTTTATCCTATATATGTATATTAAAAATTTTCTTTTATTTGTAATTGAAATATTTAAAAAATATTTTTTATTTTACAGAATGCTCCACCGAATTATGAGAATGTTGACTTGTCATTTTCATATATAAGCAAAGATTGCACAGGATTAAGGTATGCATTCATCACGTTTTGTAAATCAAGTAAATTATTCCATACCTAGAAAACTATTAATCTTAAATTTTATAATTTGGTAGACATATAGGAGCCTACGCGCTTTTCCATCAAAATTTATTGGGAGCAAATCATATATGCAGACATCAATTATTTAGTCCCGCTATTGATAAACTTATAGCGTAAGTTTAATATAATAATAAAAATTTAAAGTAACAATAATTCTCTCTCGGAAACTTTACCAATTTATATTTTTTAAATTTTTTATCTATATATATATAGAAAAAAATGGTTTCGTTGAAATATCTAAAAATTTAGATAGCAATCGGAAATAATAAATGTCGGAAATGCGTAATTCTAATAGAAATGGAAAAAGTTATTTAATAAATATCTTCTGAAAATAATTTTGTTAGGTCGCTCCAAATAGTTATGCAAAACGTTTCAAGTTAGTTGCTGAGATATCAAAACTTTTTGCAGCAGTCATCATGCTTATATA